ACACCTTCCATCAAATGAAGATGGTGAGATTTTCCTACCCTAAAATCATTAATTTTGTTTTAAGCAATAGTATGAAAGAATTACGAAATATTAGTTATTCTTCAATAGTCTCATACGAACCTCTGTAATCGTGAGAATATACAATTAAATAAAAAGATCTTTGACTTTGCCCTTTTTGTTAAAACAAATGGGTTATCTAAAAAGTACTGTTCATATTTCATATGATAAAGTTTCTTGTCTTTTCTCGTATGGTTTTTATTTGACTGACTTTTATTTTATTTTATTTATTGTGTCATCGTAGTTATCTTTCGAGGTTGGTATACTTGCAATTTTTGGCAATTTGGAGGCACATTACAAAGAAGAGCTCAAAAAGAATTACACCATTGTGGACAAAGGCTACAATTCATTCCCCACAAACATTCCCGGCACACCATACAAAAAGGCTTTATTGGTATTTTTTTTCATTCATGTACTTTTTTTTTTGGGGGTCAAATTTTCATGTAATTATTGATGAAATCTAAAAATGTTTTTGATAAACTAATTGTTTCGATTATTTGTAGGCAAGGAAGAGGCTAAGAATGATTTTGGGTGACATTATATGTGAGAGGAAGGAGAAGAGATTACTCGAAAAAGATCTATTGGGTTGCATGTTGAACTCAAAAGATGAAAAGGTTGAAGTCTTAACCGATGACCAAATTGCTGACAACATTTTGGGTGTGCTTTTTGCTGCTCAAGACACCACAGCTAGTGTAATGACCTGGATTGTCAAGTACCTCCACGATGACCCTAAAGTTCTAGAGGCTGTAAAGGTACTATATAAAGACACTTCAACAAATGATATATTCGTTCACGCATGCGAGCAATTTCTCATTGTTTTTATCATTGTGAAGTTCCACAACTACCCATGCATATAAGCAATGTTTAATCTTTTAATTACTGTAAAACTCACACTTCATCAACAGTTAAAAATCAAGTACGATAAGCTTACAACTATGTATATATATGGACACCAAAATACAGCTATGACATATCATCGTGGTTCTTTCTAGAACAACTCACTTTCACACCATTTGTTGTCTCTTTATCTGTAAAATGATATGACAATTTTGTTTATATTTAAGTATACTTGCCTAATTTGCAGGCTGAGCAGAAGATAATTCGTGAAGCAAATGAAGAAGGCCAGCAACCATTGAGCTGGGCACAGACTAGAAACATGCCAGTTAGTCACAAGGTATGAGATATATGCATGCACTGTCTCATACGATGCAATCATACAAGAAATGGAATTATATTTTTACTTAATTTGTTGCTAACTGTAGGGAATTACGTGTCTTCTTTCTTTCTCAGGTTATTTTAGAAAGTTTGAGAATGGCAACTATTATATCTTTTGCCTTTAGAGAGGCTGTCGTTGATGTGGAATACAAAGGTATTTACAAGACTATAAATTAATAAACAATTTTCTATAAGTTACACATATGAGGTGGCATTTAAATTTTTCTTATGATTCTCGCACTCTTTTCTTCTTATCAACTTATGCACATTTTTTGGTTATTTTTTTCCATTGATTAACATTTAATTCATTATGTCTATTAATTCTATACTATGTGACCATCATGTCTCTAATTTTTTAATGACATTCACAAGAGACATTTTGTCATACATAATTGTAACATCGTGTCCCCAAATTTTTAATGAAATTGCTCCTATGAGATATATATCCAAGACGAAATAATTGGTCATGAACGAAAGTTAGTGAAGGATAGTGCTATTAACATATTTTTTTTTACCTCTCACATATCTTTGTTAATCCATCAATCTTCTTCAATTTATTCGATTCGATGGTCGAAAATTAAAAGGATTGTGTGATAGATAAAATATGTATGCGTATAGCACCACCCTTAGTAGAACAGAAACAAAAACAAAAATTTAATTATTGATGACTACATACACACTTTCTACTTGTTTGGTCAAACATTTTCTCGTTTCTAGCATATGTGCATTAAGTTGTCTAACTAGAAAATGAGATGTAGTTGTTATAATAAAAAATAAACCTAGAGATGTATGCATGATTGACGGTGGAATATGTCACAGGGTACTTGATTCCAAAAGGTTGGAAAGTGATGCCTTTGTTCAGGAACATTCATCATAATCCTGAATATTTTGCCGACCCTCAGAAATTCGATCTTTCTAGATTCGAGGTACGGGGACTACTGTTCCTTTTTTTCTGTTCTTGCTCATTCCATCCCTCTATATCTAAACTTATAAGATCTCAAGAATTTTAGAATTTATGAGTTATTGTAAAATTTAACTGTGAGATTTGCGTCAATAAATTATATATAAAAAGTTTAACAGATGAATCTGAACCACTTAAAAAACAAATATATATTATTGTACGTTGATGTAAAGTAGGATAAGATATAACGTACTATAATTATTAACAACTAATGCATTTTGATGTTTTAATTAAACTGTGTTTGATGCTTAATTAGGTTGCACCAAAGCCAAATACATTTATGCCATTTGGAAGTGGAGTGCATGCCTGCCCCGGAAACGAGCTTGCAAAGCTGGAAATGCTGGTTATGATGCACCATTTGGTCACCAAGTTGAAGTGGGAAGTAGTGGGATCCCAAAGTGAGATTCAATATAGCCCCTTCCCTGTGCCTCTGCATGGACTCCCAGCCAAATTTTGGAAACAATCTGCCGATGTAGTTGATTTCTCATAACCCTCCCCAATTTAACTCATCCTCTTATTTTATGTTTCTTTGTGAACATCTCCAACCGTTAAGTTAAATTGTATGCGGACACAAAATTGCAAGAATTGAAGGAGAAAACCTTTAAGTAGTCAAATCCTCATGGATTTGAGGCACTAAGGGCAATGTCAAAATTGGCATCCCATAAGATTTGTTTTCAAATATTGTTTTAATATTTTTTTATGTTGGTCATGTTTTTCTTTTAAAATTAATAAAATAATATATTATATTTAGAGTGCAGTCACAATTTATAGGGTGTCAAATTGCTACGTAGACCATTTCAAACGTAAATTTATCATTTTAGATTTGATATCACTTTTGAGATGCTCTAAGGCACATTTCAATTTTTTTACTCTATTTTCTCTTTTTTATGGGAGTGATCAGAAACTGAAGTGCTTCACTTTGTATTGAAAAAGCGTCTTATGGTTCTTGTGAATCTAATTCATTGAAATTTCATTCCAGTAAACTGGAAAAATTATAAGTAATCTTCAAAATAATAGATAGGAATATCGCGAATAGAGCCATAGAGATTTTCTATGCAAGACATCAGTCATTTAACAAATGACATATCCTGTATTGATAACAGGTCACTATGTTGTGTATTAGGTTGTTGTTGACATGAGTATGGATACCATTGACGAGTTCGTTCTTTAAGAAACGGGCTTCTGATTCTTATATTATTATCAATCTTTGTTATTCAACAAGTGTACTAAATACTCTCGCATGTTCTAACTTTATCCGAAAATAGCTTCGTAGGTTCTCTGAGTTACAACACTACTAATTAACAAATGCTTAGTTGGAATAACAGAAACACTGAACCCTAAACTCACATCCAACAACAAAAATAAGGGAGAGATGAATCACATCCATTCTGCAATCATATGTAATTTGCTAATCAAGAGTGAATGTGACATAATTTGGTTGAGCTCAATATATATAGGATATATATAGAGGTGTGATATCCACAAATCTATTTTTACTTTTGAGTTTGACACACCTTTTTAATTTTTGGCTTTCGGATTAAATGAAATGAAGGATATCAAAGAACATAAATTACCAAGGAATGTGTAAGAAGTAAAAAATGATGTGTAGATATAGCACACCCCTATATATATATACACATCACATGCAACACGTACACTATAGGAGGAGGGATTGCTATTGGGTCGTTTTATTTAGAAAAAAGTCAAGGTTACCAATTTAAGAAATATAAAGTTTGAGTTCCCTTAATCGCTCATTCTGTTGCTAGCGACTCTATTACACGGGAATGAAATGTCTCCTTTGGTGGTTAGTGTGCTTTTTCACTGCCTTCTCTTGGGATTGTTCTTTTCTTTTCTTTTCTTTTTTCTTGCTGTGTTTACTGTTGATGTACTTTGGTTCTTGGTTGCTGCAGTTTGCTGCTACTTATTTTGTATAGTTGCTTCTCTTATCCAACAGAAAAAAATAATAGTAATTAATAATATTCTGATCATTCTAACCACAGCATACACCAAGGACTCAAAACTCATCCTCTTCTCATGTTGGTAACCACACATTTTTTGTTCCTTTCTACCTTTTCACCCTCTCCCTTTGGGTGAGCTTTTATCACATTATTAATACAAAGCTTATTCAGTATTTGAATTGATCCAGCACTGTTTTTTTTCTTTAGATATCCGAGCGCTTCTCTTCACATCATCACCTTCTCTTCCTCTCTTCCACCATGGCCAGTGATTGAAACGAAATCTGAAAGCAATGAAGACGATAGGGTGGACAATGACGTTTCACGCTTATTTTGGCCTTCGGCGTAAGTGAAAATAGTCCTTTAGTGATAATTAAATTAATTATAAAAATTAAGAAATTGATGAAACTGCTAGCAACTGTTAGCAATCTTAGCATTGTTAGGGTTAGTTGTTGAAACATAGTTATTAGCTATTTAACAGAGTCGTTAGTTGTTTAACAGTATGCTAAGTAATGAATTGCATAGTGAGTAGCCAATGTAATGAGTATATATATAATTGCAATTACGGCTCATAATGTGACTACTCTCAATCTATTCACAAAATTATGTTTTCCATATCTTGCATCTTTGTACAACCTTTAGAAATAATTCAAACTCAAAGTGATGTCTGGATACTGCTCCAATATAATTTGTTGAAGGGTTCAAGTCCTGCTCCAATATAATTTGTTGAAGGGTTCAAGTATGTCTATGAATATACAAGATTGACTTGAATCTTTCCAATGGATGGAGGTGACGAGTTTGTAAACAATAAATTCAAACAATTTTTCTAGAAAAAAGGTATAATACATTAAAAAAAAAAAATCATGTCCTCACACCATGCAGAATGGACTTGCAAAACGAAAACATAGACTGTCAAATTACCACCCAAATTTTGGTTTCATGCTTGTGATGAATCTCTTCCAAATGAAGCCAACATCTGTAGTTTGAAAATCAAGAAAATTGTGAAATGATTGGAGCGTTCAATATATCACAAGTATATGTGGAGTGAATGCTTTTACATTATTTACAGATAAAAGCCTTATTAATTAACTAGCTCGAGTATCTTGAGATGCTGGACTCGTGTATTTACTAATGGCTGCAGTGATCCTCTCTTTGTCTCTAGTTGGAAATGCTTCCAAGAGGATCCCGTCTTTATAGAAGTGGAAGAGCGGCACCGTCTGCATATCGTTTCATAAAAAAATAAAGCTAAGAGGATAATAGATTGATAATAAGCCTTATATAAATAAAAATTTAGTGTATGCCGATTGTATAAGAGTGACAATATCAATGGTTGTAAGAATGACATTTGTAACCAGATTAAGGAGAGAGTTGTTAGATTGGTTAGTGAGTTGTTATGACGGTTAGCTTGAGATAAGTCAGTTAGATTTTTTGTTAAGGAGATTGTGTAGCAACTTTTGCATAAATATTGTAATGCTCATAGCAATTTATTCTCTCTCTACCATTCTTCATTATCTCTCTAGTTTTTCATCTTCTTCTCTGTTCTTTTGCAAATGTATCAGTGAATCTATATATGTTGATAGATCTGTTTAATTAGTGCCAATTCAGTTCAAATTTTTATTAAAAGTTTGTAAACATTTCTATTTTTGTATATTTCCCTAGTAGTTAACTCGATGAGCATGTTGCAATTCAAGTGCCATGATTCAGCTTAACATAAATGCGTATAACAAGTTTGTGAGCACTCAATCAAACTAACATAAGACTAGTGTGCAATGTTTCCTTTGAAATCAATCAATCGAGAGAAAGTTACCTTAATTCTAAGTCGATCAGCAACCTCGGATTGTTCGTCGTACTCATCAATTACCTGCAGTAATTAGTAAAAATCCTTTACCAGAATTACATATTGAGCTAATAAAGCAAAGTTGAAATCACAATGACGTTTGCACGGTGAAATGATCCTATAAGGAATGAGGAATGTATTTGTTCGGGCAAAGATTTCTCCAAATTTTAACCCAAACAGTATTATCCTAACAATAAGACTCACATTATGCTTCAAGAAGATAACAGCAGCTTCTCCATCACCAGCTCCCTTACACAGCTTCGAAAACCCTTGCTCTATGTACTTGCAGCTCCCACACGAAATCCGATAAAAATCTACGACAACCAAAGCACCAGTTTCTTTGGCCGTTTCCAGAATTTTGCTGAACTCCGCGTCGGTACTAAACTCTCTAACACATTCAACGGGACACACATCGTCGTCGTCTTCCTCGGCCAATTCTCCTAGGTTTCCAGACGCCACTCGGACCTCTACGTGACCGAATGCGTGGCGGTATCCCGAAGCTTCCAATCCTTTTATGATGTTTGATGGAAAATTTGCTTTCACGAGACAAAATTTAACTTGGAAGGGACTTGTTGAACCATGTTTTGTGTTTGGATTTGTGGCAAAGTTGAAAGAGGCTGTGGCCTTGCTGCCGTATAGAATGGTCTGCCTTTGCATTAGAACAAACGGTAAAATTGAAGAGTGGGGTTTTGGGGGAGATAAGTTCTTGGCGGTTGATATGCTCTCAATTGCCATATCTGAATTCTGAATTATTCTACCCATTGAAAAGGTGACACGACATCACCAACCAGATCGGATTTGCCTTCCTAACGGCAACTTTTTGGCCCGGTTATGTTTTTCTTGAATTGGCTTTTGAGTACAAGTAAAAAAATAGTCTGATCTATATAAATTTTTTATTTCTATCCGATGTCTAGACTGTAATTCTATAAAGTTTATCAGACTATTTTTTAAGCAAAGATATCAGGGTAGTCAAATGTAGCCCCTCTAAGCCTTTTTTTGAGGCTCATGTCATCTCCAACCAAAATGGCTACGTTTAACCTCCGTCTAGATTATAACCCTGCAATAAATTATTTTTTAGTAAACAGTACCGGACCATATCTATATACAATCTTCAACCGAAGGGGGCTATTTTTTAGCCCCTCAATAATTTATTAATTTAAGTTTATTCTTTAATTTTATCGGTTAATTGAATTAAACCATCATAATAAAATATGGTGTCCAGACATCTTTTCAGGCCCACTTGTCCTAAATGTTGTTTTAAGTTTTATGTTATTAAATATTTAATTTTACTTACATGTTAACAACTTATACATAAAAATAAGATAAGATAGTATGGAAAGGTGAAAACGATGTGAAAATAGTGTAGAAATAGCTTAGGTATTTATAGGAAAAATTAGAATTTTTTAATATTCTTTTTTAAATTTCGTCTTTAAAAAAAATGAAGAGGTTACATGACGCCAGCTAGCAGCACAACTAGGCCCAACTTTCAGGGCTAGCTGGCTGGCTATGTTTGCCCAGCCATGTGGCCATTTGGCTATATTTTGGTCAGGTGGGTCCTAAATTTTTTTAGCCCAACCCTTCATTAGACCCACTCAAACCCTGGGCTAAAACCTATAATTCTCATCCCCCCCCCCCCCAAAAAAAAAAATTCAACCCAACCCATGGCCTAAACAAAACCTAAAACCTAAAACTCATCCCAGGGCCAAATACTGCAAATTAGAGTGGGCCCCACCGGGTGCAAGTGAAACACGGGTTGTGAAGCCCAGATGCCACAGCCAAGCGCCCAACAAGCCAGACGGAAGCCGAGGCGGACCCCAGCCACGTGGGCATGTCCCCTGGCTATCAGTGTGTGTTGGTAGCCCAACGACTACTTTTTTTAATCGAACGACTGGATTTAATTGGACCGTTGGTTAATCCAATGGTTCACGTTCAATTTTTTTTTAGTTTTATATTTATATATTTATTGAATCCAATAGCTTAGATCGAATATAATCAAATCTAACGGTAAAAAAAAAGATCTAATGGTCCAAATTTAAATCCAACGGCTAAAATAATTTAAAAAAATAATTTAACTCAAAATTCACCCAAAAACTGTATAAATATATATGTATTTGTTCAAACATCCATACAAAACTCACTTTTTTCCTACAATTCTTCCAAATTTTCTTTCTAGCATTTCTTCTCATTTTCAAAATTTTCAAGATGGCAAAATAGCATGTTAGAGGTCGTAATTAGACCTTTGACAAAGATATTGTTTTATGTTTGACATGGATTTCTAGTAGTGGTCATGATTGACAACTGCGTTCAAGGTGCTATCAAAATGCTCTTTCCTCATCCGAAACCGCCTCCGAAAATCATGAGCAGGAAATCTCGGACGCTTCATGAAATAATCTTTCATCATTCGGTCATGACATTCTTCTCTATCACGTTGCACAAATGAACGCCCCGTGACATAACCACGATAGTTAGATTCGGCATGGTGCTCATATTGCATAAGTGAGTTTGCAAGTTCAGCTTCTGTGTCGATCATTTATGTATCCTCAATGTCAAGGCTTGTTTGGTATTGTGCCATCTGCATTGCCTTGCTACTCCTTCTTTTATCACCCATTGATGAGATATTGAGGATTTTTAGGAAACAAAAACACTTTCAAAGTTGAAAGATTGGTGAATATAGAGGATGATTGAAGGTTGTAAGATTGTGTGATCAATTGATATTTAACATGTGTTTATATAGAGGATGATTGATGAAAGTTGAAAGATTGGTGAAAGTTGAAAGTTTGGTGAAAGTTGAACGATTGGTGAAAGTTGAAAGTTTGGTGAGTTTCATGTGTCGATTTAGTGATTTTTCAATATTTATTGGATTTTAAATATTTTTAAATTAAAATGTTCATAAAATTAAATTACGATAGTCTACATAATTTAAAAAAAAAAAGTTAGTTTAAGAAAAAAATTAGCCTAAGTTCATTCTTTAATAATCCCGGGCTAAAATTTTAGGTTATAAGGGTTGGAGTAGAAAAACTGTTTTTGGGCTGAATATTTTTAGATTTTAGGCCAGGGTTGGAGATGGTCTTAGACCTACTCCAACCCTTAGAGTAAAACTCAAATTTTAGGTTCTAAACTTATTCCAACCTTGGGGCAAATATGAGTTAAAACTCAAAACTCATTTACGGGCCAAATTTAGTCCAAGATTCTTGTCACATCCCAGACCGGCTCCGCCGTAGCACGATATTGTCCGTTTTGGGCCCCGACCACGCTCTCAAGGTTTTGTTTTTGAGAATTCAAACGGAAACTTCCCAGTGGGTTACACATCCTAGGATTGCTCTCGCCTGAACTCGCTTAACTTCGGAGTTCCAATGGAATCCGAAACTAGTGAGTTCTCAAAAGACCTCATGCTATATGGAGGTAGGCATGTACATATAAGACACATCACCTTATCTTTGTTGGTCGATTTAAGATGTTACAATCCACCCCCTTAGGGCCCGACGTCCTCGTCGGCACACTCGCACCAAATGCCATAGTGGCTATAGTACCATTCTGTCACCTCCCAGACCAGCTCAGCCGTAGTACAATATTGTTCGCTTTGGGCCCCAACCATGCCCACACGGTTTCGTTTCTGGGAGCTCAGATGAGAACTTCCCAGTAGGTCACCCATCCTAGGATTACTTTCGCTCGAACTCGCTTAATTTCAGAGTTCCGATGGAATCTGAAACCAGTGAGTTTTTAAAAAACCTCATGCTATATAGAGGTGAGCATGTACATATAAGGTACATCACCCTCTCTGTTGGTTGATGTGGGATGTTACAATATATAACATTCACCCTAATTATTATACTGTTCTTATGCTCTACCATCACGTGTGAAATGTGTGCAATCCCGCTGACCCGAACACTTTATTTGTTTAGGCACTTTTAGGTTTAAATTTATTAACATTCTTTTTCCACTACACTACACTTTATAATTTCGTCACCCTTCAGGTGTCGGCCAAGGCAACTCGATTTCGAAGTCCAAGTAGGCTTTTTGGGTCGGGGTGTGTCAATTCCCCCTGGGTTAGTGGGGCTGGTCCACCATATATGTATATATATTTTTATATTTATAATTATAAATTCATTGAATCCAATGGTTAAGATCTAATTTGATGAAATCCAACGGTAAAAACAAAATATAAGGGTCCAAATTTAAATCCAACGGCTAAAGTAATTAAAAAAAAATTCTTTTATGTGTTTCATATTCTTTCATAGTGTTTCACGAGTTCATGGTGTCGGTTAGTGATTTTTCAATATTTGTCATAATCTAAATATTTTTATGTTAAAATGTTCATAAAATTAAATTAGGATAGTCTACATAATTTTTTTTTCCTTTTAATAAAGTTACTTTAAGAAAAAATTGGTCTAAATTCATTATTTAATGATCTGGGGCTAAAATTTTAACCTATAAGGATTTGAGCAAAAAAACTGTTTATGGGTTAAAACCTAAATTTTTTGGGCTAAAAATTTTAAGTTTTAATCCAAGGGTTTGAGATAGTTTTAGAGATGGGTTTTGTGTCACAACGGGCTATGTTTTGGCCTCTAACCCTTTAGCCGACTCGGTTGGAAGTGGCCTCAACTTCTCAATTGTAATAATTAATTCACATGTTCCAGGCCTCACGGCTAAATTTAAAAACATTAAACGGTAATTTAATTAAATTAACTAATTTATAATATAAACCTAAAACCAATAAGTTTTTTTTATAGAATTATATTTAATTCATTCTATTGGAGATGACATATAACTATGACATAACACCGTTTATTTACAACAAATGTTTTATAGAGCTATAAATCTAAAATAGAGTTATTGATTTCGAAGCAAGGTCCCAGAAAAATTCAAATTTATGATGCCAGCCCAATCGAAAGATAAAAACAAGCAGAAAATAAAGTTATGGGAATGCGTGCCTTGTCCGTCATCTGATCTCTTCAAGATCGGTTAGTTCGCGCGTGATCTTATACGACAATTCTCCAACCAAACTCACCAGTCTCTCAGAAATTGAACGATAAAAACGACGTAGTTGCGAGACCCATTTCATCTCGATACTTGCAGAGTTGAAGAGAGAGAAGCAATGGCGAGCGGTGCAGAGCTGAAGTCGGAGAGCTTGCTGGAGCTGATGAAAGAGCACCTGAAAACCGACGCCGGCAAAGAAATTACCAAGAAAATCGGACTCGTCTATCAGATCAACATCGCACCCAAGGTAGGCTCCACCACTCGCCGACCTTCCTCAAATTCTCTAAATCTGATAAATTCCCAATTTTTCCTTGACTTCCTGAGTTGAAATCGCAGAAAATTGGATTCAATGAGGTGATTTTTATTGTTGATCTTAAGAAAGGCGAGGTCAAGAAAGGTTGGGGTTTCTGATTTTGGTTCGCTCTTAATCCTAATTAATTAATCAATTTAGGGCCTGTTGAGATTGTTTGTGGTTAAAAGCGTTTTGTGATGGTCAAAAGTTTTTTTTTTTTTATTGCGTTTGGCAGAAAAATTTAAAAGCGATTTTGGCATATATGAAAGGGACTGTCCGAAGAAGCACCTAGAAGAAAGTGCTTTTGATTGCCTTTGGCCGAAAAAATAAAGAAATGTATTTGGCTCATATGTAAGTGCTTTTTGAAGAAGCCCTTCTGGGAAGCACTTTTAAGTGATTTTCCAGAAAGCACTTCAATTTTTAAAAGTTCATCTAGCAGAAGTGCTTATGAGCGGAAGTGGTGTAGAGAAGCAATTCCAAACGGGCCCTTAATAATTCTGTTTAATGTATGAAAGATGAGAGCTTTTCCTGAAAATCTGAGCTGAAATTACAGGGGCATATGAAGGAGGGAAGCCAGATGCAACTTTTTCGTTCAAGGATGATGATTTCGTGAAGGTGGCGCTAGGGAAGATGAACCCGCAAATCGCTTTCATGAGGGGGGCAATGAAGATCAAGGGTAGCTTGAGTGCGGCCACAAAATTCACACCTGACATTTTCCCCAAGCCTTCCAAGATGTGAGATTTCAGATTTTAGGCCTAATTATCTTTTGATTGCTTCAAATGAATTTCTCAAATACTAGGAAACTTTGAAACTGATGGGAATTTTAGCTTTCCACTAAAGAGAAACTAGAAGTCAATTAGATGAAAGCTTGTACTCTTTGGTATGTGAATCATTTCGTACTTAATGCAATAAGCTGCAGATTAAAATATGACTCTGAGGTTTTTTTAAATAATATTTGTTATTTTTCTTGTGTTTTCTTGCAAATTGCTATCTGTAGTCTTTGGATATTTGGGAGTTGGGTGGCTTCATGGGTTTGATTTGGCTGCAAAACAGGGAAAATCAGGCAAATCAATGATAAACTGAAAGGGAAATGACCTCCGTGCACCCTTTTCACCTTGTACATATCCATGTTTATTTCTGTCATTTGGTGTTCCTTTTATGTATCCAATATAACTGGCAGAAATAAACTGGGGTGTGCCGAAATTGCCTCACAACTGACACTCTGACAATGAAAAAGAAAGAGAGTAGCAGTTTTCAACCAAAATCAGTAAGTGAAACAATTCATTGTTATGATGTTGGCTGGGGCAGAACCCGATGAGGCTAAATCTTGGGTGTAATCGGTCATTGATCGCCTTCACTCTATCTCTCACATAGACCAACATGCGCTTGTCCAAGAAGAAAAAAAGGTCTTGGTTCAAGGATGTTGAGAGTATATGATTGTGAATTGATTTCATGAATGTTGCCTAACCTTTCGAAAAACTGATCGCATTTGGACGAGTCAGCCCTTTTCTAGCCTAACACACACATCATGATACTTTGAATTTTCTTCTGTATATCTTGTTGTTCAAACTGGTTGACTCTCTGGAGTTTCAATCTCCACTAGTCTTGGCTGTTTAATTATAAAATGTGCGACTTTTGGGAAAGTCAACTCCACGAGATAACTAAAGGCACCATGAACTTCATCATTTCCTTCTGCTTTTGCCTCTGCATTTCTCTCTTGCCCTCCTTTGGAACCCCCGCTGTGTTGTTTTAGGTAACTACGCCATATGCACTTCTCTTTTACAGATTACTTTTAGCCTGTTATGAATGCGTATTTTGAATTTAGAGGTCTTTGAATATGATACAGGGGTTCAATTGGCATTCAAGTAAAAAAGGAGGGTGGTACAACTCACTCAAGACCTCCATTCTTGAACTTGCTGACTCTGGCATCACCCATGTCTGGCTTCCTCCTCCTCACGCTAATGGAACCGAGGGTATTTACTAGCTACTAGCCTATCACTATCTCTGTATAATCGCACTTATTTGTTTAATAATCCCAAGTAATCAATAATGTTCTCTCGCTAGACTGAATCTGGATTGCACATTCTGGCAAGATAATAATTCGTTACTATTACTCAAACATTTCAGGATTCTACCCGGAAGGCTATACTATCTCGATGCATCGAGCTATGGAAATAAGGATGAATTGAAGTCCCTATTTACTGCCATGCATGAGAAGGGAATCAAAGCCATAGCAGACATTGTGATAAACCACAGAGCAGCAGCTGTCAAACAAGATGAGAACGGACTATGGAGAATATTCGAAGGTGGAAAGCCGGATGGACGTCTTGACTTCGATGCCTCCTTGATTTGCCGGGATGACAATGACCACCCTTTTGGCACTGGCAACCCGGACACAGTAGACAACTTCCCGTTCACAGCTGACATGGACCACACAAACCCTAGCTTCAAAGCGAGTTGTCTGATTGGATGATTTGGTTGAAAAACTGAAATAGGGTTTGATGGATGGAGGTTTGATTATGCGATTGGGTACGGCTCTAGCTTAACCAATCTCTACATGGACAGAACTTTGCCGGCATTCGCAGTTGCCGAGTACTGGCGTTGGAACATTTCGAAGGGGCAGGACGGCAAACTAGATCAGAACCAAGATGCACATAGGAAATTAGGAATGAAATAGTTAGTTGGATTCAGGTAGTGGGG